AAGGGAAGGAATGGGTAAGCTCAAGAGTTCAAACAGCAATGCAACTGATAGTGACTCTTCAATTAGTACCAATCCATGGACCATTCTAATGCAAAGAAATCAATTAATGGTATGCAATTTAGTCTATGTGAATAGGATATAGAAGACCATATAAGGGAATTAGTGTATCACTCAACTCACAAGTATTTAGGGTTCTTTCACTCAATTCACTTGTTCAAATGCTCTACCATATGCTTGTAATAGCTCTACCTCTCTACCATTTAAATGCATAAGAACTCAAGAATCAAGAGGACTTTTGTGGCTTGTAATGTACAGGGTAGGAAGGTAATGCACAAGAATCCATATGAAGTGGAGGATAAAGTGTAGATCAATGAATAGAATTCAATAGCATTAACAATGTTCAAATGAAGGTTTAATTTCTTGATCTTGAACTCTAAAATTGCAAGGGTATTTTTATTCCTTCTTTCTTTTCTTTATTTGCTTTCTTCATTTCTTTTCAACTTTTTTTCTATATATATTTTTTATATTTCTCATCTTTTTTCTTGGTTCTTTTTCTTTTCTTCATTTTCTTTTTGTTTCTTTCCTTCATTTCTTTTCCTTCTTTTTTTTTTCTTGTTGCACCTATGCTCAAGTATGCACTTTCTCATATCACTTCATCAATTGACTTCATCGTAATGCTAGTGAATTCTAAATGAATGAATGAATGAGATATGCATTCTTGTGGGAAAGAGGGGATGCAAATGGAAGTGAAATGAATGGAAGATTCAACTAAAAGGCTTAAATGGTTGGCAAAGAGTAAATCATTTATTGGTTGGCCATTTGGTCTAAGTAGCTAATTTGAAAGAATGCCTCAATCCTATTCAAGAGATGTAAATGTTACATGTGATTTTGATTAAGAACTAGGACAAGTTCTAGAGAGCATAAGAGACACACTACTAAAAAAAGGTCATTTTTGTCTGTTCCGAAGGTCCTTTTTCATCTGTTTTGAGGGGGACATAGATGAAGGAGACGTAGATAGAAACTGAATATTCATATGTTGGTAAACAAACGAATATAATATAATATATTCTTCTGTTAAATGGAACAGACGAATATATTGTACTATTTTTGTCTGTTCAAGATGAACAGATGAAAATGTTGTATATCAAAAAAAAATTACGCACAAATGTGAAATTTCCTGAATTTTTTTACAGAAAATCCTGAAAATTTTTCAAAAAATAAAGTACAGCCAAATTCAACAGATTCAAATCTATTCCATAATCCACAATCCTAATAACATCATTACATAATAATTCAATAGATTCAGATCCATTCCAAGAACATATACACAGTCCTAGTAACATTCTAACATGTTTTAACAATCAAAATAATCCTAGAAACTTCAATACCATCAAAGCTGGTAACCTCATGTATCATTTTGAGTGTAAAACTCTTGAACAAATTGCCCTGCCAAATGATCTCGGATAGCATCAATCTCTTCATTATTATAACAGTTGTCATCATCAAAGATCTATAAGTTATATAAATAAGAAGATTGAATTCATCAGAATAAGAGAATTAAAGAAAAACAATTCAATAGAAAAAAAGCAAATAATCATAATCAAATGAATTATTACCATCTCAAAATTTTGAATACATTCAGACTCAATAATTTTATATATGAAATTGATAATATAATATTCGCACTCTGCACTTCCTGGTTGTCGATGACATTGTAAAATCAAAGTGAATATGAATATGTATATATATAGTTGATGATATTAAAGAATTAAAAATATTCTTACTTTTGGTTTGTGCCAAACAGTCTTGCCATTTTTTCCCTCGCGTTTCCCTCCCCGTATATAATATGTTTTAAAAGCCCTATGACAAAATAGAAATGACTAGGGATTAGAACAACTTAATGAAGTAGGAAAACAATATATTTGACCACAAAACTTACGTTTCGAAGATATGTTTCATTTCCTTGCTTGGGGGACGACCCAATGCAATATCTAGCTGATCCAAGGATAGAAAGTCCTTGAGATCCCTCTGGTCCAATCCAAAATGATATGTGATTTGCTCTCCCACAATCCTACTAGGCATTTGTATATTGACTTTGTTAACTAATTCATAAATGTCATACAGTTGTGCCAAACAGGAAAATTTAGTAGCATCTTTAACGTCCTAATAGAAAAATAGAATAAAAATAAGTAACATAAAAAGTATATGAAAGAGAAATTAGAAAATGCTTGCGTTTTGTACCATTGGAGATATGACGTCAATGAGTCTTTTTAGGCCATAAAATAAAATGCCCTTTTACTTCGCCTAGCTTGCCAACCTCGTCACTAGGAAACGACAAATCTACATCTACCTCCTCCTCTCGAACAGCCGTAACCGTCACTTTGACCGAGTCCGCTAGGATTTTTTGATTATGAATTTTAGACCCGTTTGTGTATCTAATGGCATTGGCAACAACACGCATATTTGGGTCATCTAAATAGAGAACACAAGGTTCTCCATTATTTAGTGGGGGACTAGGGTTAAAGGGAACTGACGGCACTTGTGGATTGAAACTCCCTTTTGTGCTACCATAGGCTGGAGAATTCTGAGACCATGATACAAATGAAAGAATGGAATTAAATGGAAACAATGTTGACAAAATTCAAAACAAATTAATTATGTTGTGATTAATTATATACCTGAGGTGTACATTCTTGTGGTTGAAATTGCCCAATTTGCATGCTTGAGACCAAAGACCTCATCTCCTCTCGAATATCAGACATAAACTCATTTTTGAAGAATTGATGAACATCATCACTTTTCATAATCTCTTCACGAACTTGTGCTCGAATTTTGTCCATCAAGTCAGTACTCGGGACACTTCTGCTTGTAGAGCTTTGTGAACCAGAACCAAAATATTGGGTTAAACCAACTGTCTTTGATAACCCTCTCACTCGACCAGGATGGTCTAACTTCCCAGTTGCAGCTACCAGGATATCCATCTTTCCACTTGGAGCAAAAGAACCTTGACTGCTCTACTCCTCAAGTGCATCCTATAACGTACAAGCAATAAATGATAAGTCAACAGAATGTGAACATTGATTTAATTTAGATTGTTTTAATTCAAGTACTTACAATTTTTTGAGCAATGTCAGCAACAGTCTGATTGATATATTCACCTTTCTTCATCCTTGCATACTTCCACGTTCTATGTTGAGAAGGAGGAGACGGGGCTTGAACAACAATGCCAGGGTTTAACTTTGCAGCTTCTTGCATTTTTTGCAAATCAGTTTCCATAATCTCTTGTTGTGCCTTACTGTAACCACCACGAGACATGTAATGCTGGTATAGATTTTTAGATTGTTTTTCTTTATTTTGAGCACTTAATTTCTATAAAAAAACAAACAAAAATGAAGTTAGTTCAATGAAATAAACTAGTTTATATGGTCATATTCACTAAGTAAAATAAGTTTACCTAAAATTCAGGAGCTAGATGTGAAGCCACAAATTTTCTCTAAGTGTCTTCGTCAAGAAATGAGTAAATATCACATGGGTTTTCATCCTGTTTAGGCCCTCGAATGTAAGTACGAGTGAGAAATGTCTTAAAATCTTTCCATCGCTCGCGTACTTGGTCTAGCCACCGTTTTCTCATCTCCTCTGTGGGAGGGATATCATAGGTTTGCTGTGAAGTTCATTTGTAATGAATGAAATTAGAATATTTAACAGTAAGAAATATTATTAAAAAGCATAAGAAGTTTATAAAGTTACACACCAACATATCTTGCCAAATCGCATTCTTTGTTTTATCTGGTACTTCTTTCCAGTTAGAATACAGAATGCTCACTTTGTTTCGACCCAGAAGGCCTACGTAGCTTTTGAACCTATCTGCTTCTGGACCAACTAGATTCATATTATCATCAAAATCCACATGCTACCTCTGAATTTTCCCGTGACGTACTGCGAGCTTTGGCATTCTCGTGGTGCCTCTACCCCTTTTTCTATTAGGTTTACCGTTCACTTGATCTTCACCAAAATTGTCCATGTTTCTATCATCATCCTCTATGTCCTGTTAGTAAACCAGAGTGAACCAAGTGAGTCAACTGTAATGAAATCAATAAAAAATTAACAAATATGAAACACAAAATTCTAATATAGTGCATAACTTTTCCGTTAGGGTCTTACATTATGCATTTTCTCATATTCCTTCACAGTGATCATTCCTAACAGCATATTCATCATCGTCATCTACCAATTCTACTTCATTCAATAGAGGTGGATTTGTAGTGAAAGGTGATGTCTCATCAATGTTAAATGTTGGATCAATGTCCTTTTGTTTTTTACCTTGAAGCACAAATGACAATTTGGTATTTATAGGATCGGTGACATAAAATACTTGTTTTGCTTGACTTGCTAAAATAAATGGTTCATCTATATAACCAATCCTATGAAGATCAATTAACGTAAATCCAAATTTTTGATCTATTTGAACACTATTATTGTTAACCCACTTACACTTGAAGATAGGAACTTTGAAATTTGTGTAACTTACGTCCCATATCTCCTCAATAACACCATAATAGGCCATGGATGCCAATTTAGGGTTTTTATCTTTGGTGCTAGAGAAATGCATTGCTTTAGCAACTACCATTACCCCATTATTCTGTATAGTACTTTTCTCATCTTGAGCTTTTGTATAGAAGGAATACCCATTTATATCATATCCACTCTACGTGGTGACATCAAATCGAGGCCCCTAAGCTAGCCATTTTATTGTGTCAGAAACATTTGTCTCCCTACAAACCTGTTCCTTAAACCACGCAATAAATGTCTTGTTATGCTCATTACTATCTGTCTATCGCTTTCCTTTGGATACTTGTCCTTTAAAATCTGCTTATGGTTATCTAAGTACGGTTGAACTTCTTTCATATTATTTAAAATGTATAAGTACACTTGGAACAGTTCTTCACGACAATACTCTTCACTTTAAGCCCTCAATTTCCCTTACCTATCCCATCGTCATGTCAAGCTTGTGCTTCCACTCCAGATAGATATCCTTTGCAAAAGTCTATGGCCTCTTTAGCTACATATCTTTCAACAATTGATGCCTCAAGTCGATAAGGATTCTTAGAATAACCCTTTAAGACTTTCATGAATCTCTCAAATTGATACATCCATCTTAGATATACAGGGCCACAGAGTCTTACCTCTCTTACTAAATGCACTATCAAATATACCATGATATCAAAAAATACTGGTGGAAAATACATTTCTAGTTGACACAGAATAACATAACCCTCTTTTTCCAATTCATCTAACTTTTCAGTGTCAATAACTTTGCTGCAAATAGCATTGAAAAAAATACACAGTTTAGTTATCGTGTTTCTCACATCATCTTTCATAATACCTCGAATAACCACTGGTAATAGTTGCTGCATCAATACATGATAATCATGAGATTTCATCCCAACTAACTTTAAATCATCCATCGAGACATGCTTTTTCATATTAGAAGAATAACCCTGTGGCACCTTAATGTTATGCAAACATCGGCACAAGCTAGTTTTCTCTGCTTTCGATAATGTGTGTGCTGCTAGCTCCAAATAAACCCTCTTACCACTCTCTTTTAGTTGCGGATGTAACCGTTCTCTTATTCCTATTTCAACCAAGTCTAATCTAGCATTGATTCCATCCTTAGTTTTTCCTGGTATGTGCAAAAGAGTACCAATAAGGCTATCACAAATGTTTTTCTCCAGATGCATCATATCAAGACTGTGTCTAACATCAAGATTACACCAATATGGAAGATCAAAGAATATGAACTTTTTTTTCCAAATGTTCTTCTCACCTACAATCTTTTTATTCTTACCAAACATGATATCAATTCTTTCCACTTTACGATAAACTTCCTCTCCAGTTAATGGCTTCGGAGCCAATCCATGTTCTGGTGTACCATTAAAAACCGTTTTCAATCTACGGTATGGCTGGAATCGATCAAGAAACCTCCTATGACCAAGATAAACTGTTTTCCTTCCATGTTTAAGTTGGTGGTAGTGTGTGTCCGCTTCACATATAGGACATGTTCTATGTCCATTTACACTGTATCCTGACAAGTTTTCATAGGCAGGAAAATCATTTATCGCCGTGAAGATAATTGCATGCAGCTTAAAGGACTCTTGTTTATGTTCATCGAACACATCTACGCCTTCCTCCCATAATTTCTTCAAGTCCTTAATCAAAGGTGCCAAGTAGACATTAATATTGTTCCCTGGCTGTTTTGGTCCTGATATCATCATAGACAACATCATATATTTGTGCTTCATGCATAACCAGGGAGGTAAGTTGTAAATCACAAGCAAAACTGGCCATGCACTATGTGTGCTATTGAGAGTACCGTAAGGATTAACTCCATCTGTACAAAGCCCAAGACAAAGATTTCTTGGATCACTACCAAATTTTGGATACATTTCATCTATTTTCTTCCATTGGGGAGAATCAGCAGGGTACCTAAGATATTTTCCATCTAATATTTTCTCATCAATGTGCCATGTCATCTTTTTTACCTCTGTTGCATTAGCAAACAACCTTTTGAATCGTGGTATTATCAGAAGATACCATAGTACCTTCAAAGGTTGCCCTTTAGTTGTCTCATTAGCATCGCCATCATCACTATCTTTGTGCTTTTTCACTTTATATCGTGAAGATCCGTATTTTGGACACTCACTAAGATTAGCATACTCTTCCCTGTATAATATGCAATCATTAGGACAAGCATGTATCTTTTCATAGCCCATTCCCATCTGAGACAAGATTTTCTTTGCCTCATAGATACTATTTGAAGAACATTATCAGCCAGAAGCATATCACCCAACAATTGAAGTAATTCCGTAAAACTTTTATCTGTCCATCCATTAGTTGCCTTCAAATTGAATAACTTCAATAGAGCTGTCAACCATGTATACATAGAACACCCAAGGTATAAAGCTATTTTTGCATCACTTTGCAAGCTATCATTTATATGCAATTGTGTGGAGAACCCCAGCCCAACATCATGAATCATATCATGCATTCTATCATTGAATCCACCCACTACTTCCTCTTCTTCAACCAATGGCATTGTTCCTCTTTTGCCATGCCATATCCATCTTATATATCGAAGATTTATCCCCTCACAAAATAAGTGATCCCTTAAACAATCTATAGTCAAACATCTCCCATTTAAACAATTAACACAGGGGCAAAAATACTTTCCACTTTTGTCATAAGCATTCTTTTTAGTAAATTCAATAAATTCTTCTACCCCGTCCTCATACTCCTTAGATGTTCTCAAAGCACTCATCCAACTACGATCCATTCTGTTAATATATAAGTCATTGTAAAAAATTTTAAATTTAATTTAAGACCGAAATCAATAATACTTTAATTTCATTCAGCTCAATTCCAAGAAAATTTAAGCAACTCAACTAATTTCAGCAATTTAATCATTCTAAATTAAGCATTTTAAAAAATTTACAAATAAGAAACATAAATTAAAACCTTTTTATACGAAATAATACTAAGAAAATATTATCTAAAATTTAACATAAGAAAATTTTATTAATTTTCACAAATAAAATACATCATCCAAAAATATTTTTTTCAATAAATAAAAGATATATTTTTCTATTTAAACTCACCAATTTATTTAATCTAATATCATTATTAATTGTTTCTACCACAAATTCATATAATTCATATAGATAGCCATTTCATCAAACACCATAACTACTACAACAAAATATTTAAAACCACTCATTCTTCATAACTCATAGATATCATGAAAACAAAAATCTAAATAATAGAAAATCCAAAACTCATCAATTCCATTCTATTGATTATACATGCATCTGCCTTACCCACAAGTTACTTAAAAATCTAAATTACAATACAATCACAAGCTAGACTGTTAATTCCAACAATAGTTCATCAAACAACAATAAGCAACATATATGATCAATTAATCTTTAAGAAGATATCATACTTACCTATGAAGTGAGGAATGCAAAATGAAGAGAGCTGCAGACTACCCACAAGTGAGCTAGAAACACCAAAAAATTGTGAGTGAAAAAAAAAACGTTGGGTGGGGTTACGGGGAGTTGGGCAGGGGTCGGGTGGGGGGGCTGGGGAGTAGGGGTGGGGTCGGGTGGGTTTAGTTGGGGTCAGCGGGGCGAGGGCATTCACGGAGTGGAGATAAGGGAGTGGGGATAAGGGGGGACCCCGCCGGAGTTGGGGACAAGTAGGGCCACTTGACGAGGGATGTGGGGTCGGGGATGCGGACGGCGAGGTGGGGGGAGAGAGTCTGGGGTTTTGGAGACATTGGGGGTGGCGCCAATATGTCGACTTGTGGGAGAGGGACCGAAGGAATGGAACTGATGAAAGATGAGGGTGAAAATGAAGGGTGTTTTGGGGGTTGGGGGGGCAGGAAAGACAAAAAAGGGAGCCCATACTAGTCTGATCAGCCGGACCAGACGAATATAGGCCTCCGATATTCATCTGGTCCATATACCAGATGAATATGGGCTCATATATTTGTTTGGTATATGGACCAGACGAATATGGGAGCCAATATTCATCTGTTTTGTCCCAACTGACGAGTATGGGGCTCCTATATGCATCTGTTTTCAATTTCAGACGAAAATAGGAGATGAAGATGAACTTTTTTGTAGTAGTGACAAGTGAATGCGCACAAGACATGAATATAAAGGCCTAAAGAATCCTTCCAACTAGGCTTGTCTTTCCTATTCACTTATTTAGGCTAAAGAGCACATAATGCTTAATCTCAATGCACTAGAGCATTTCACTTTATGATATCAATTTCCAAATCAAAATCAATCACAAATGCAACATTAAACTCTTGAAACACACTTAAACATTCAAAAACTTTTTTGAAAACTGAGGTTTTTACAAAAGACACAAAACATGCAAAACAAAGACAACATTCACCCCCTACACTTAATTTTTGCATTGTCCTCAATGCAAATCTAAACAAAAGATAAGCAAGAACAAAGGGAAAGGGTAGGATGGACAAAACTGGCACAACACACAAAACAAGGAATTAAAACACACAAGCTACCTTTTACTACTAGTTGTGCCCCTCTCCCACACTTGGATAACTTTTAAATTTAACCTCCAAGGCACATAACGAACAGTTGAATCACCTGGGGTTTGAGTTAGGGCTGGAATTTGATAATTTTGATGCTTTCAATGTGTTTAAAATGAAAAATTATGTAGGATTCAAGTGAGCACACAAGTTTGGAAGTATTAGAATTAAAAATGGTAGGTTTGAACCCTAACCCTAGGTGATTTCAACCAAGTTGTTTTGAAGGAGAAGGAAGTTGATTCTAATTATTTTTTGCTCAGAAATGAATGTATGAAAAATTATAGGGGAAGAGCATACGGAATTAATTTTGAAAATGTTGGCAATTGAGCTAAAAAGTTAGAAGTTAATATGGTTCAAAGAGAACAAAGTGTTGATGTTGTTTATTACGATGGCTCTAATGAATAAATGGCAATAGTATGTTGATGGATTTAGGGTTATGAGACATCAAGGTAGAGAAATGGGATGGTTGATCAAGCAACCTAAATGGCTGGGGGCAAAGGTAGCAAAGACAAAGCTTAATGTTACGAGGTAGTAAACTTACCCTATTTGTGTGCTTGATATATATGCTTGTGTGTTAATATTGCTTGATAGTGATTTAGATTATGAAACATTGAATATTGCTCTATTTCTTGTATGTTCCATGGCCATATCCGAATGAAACATTGAGCATTAGAGCATGTCATTTTATAAGCATAAAAGCATGTCATTTTAATGCCAAGCATGTCATCCACCAAGTAATTATCTTGCACACATATGGGTAAGTGTTTACTACTGAGATTCTCTTGAATCTCACCCTCCCTTAACCAACTCTAATAGGTGATAATGAACAAGTAAAAGGATGCAGGAAAAGAATTGAGAAAATATATTATATTATATTGTGTAATTTGTATGCTAATGTATGGTATGAATATGCCACTAATATTATGTGATGATAAATGATGATGATGATAGCATATAAGACTAAATATAGTGATGTATGGAAATAGTGAGTGCATTGATAGAATGGTAAGATGCATGAGAAGAATTAATTATGAATTATCAATGTAAGTAAGTGGGATAAATTATCCCTAAATGAGCCACGAAATGGTGACAAAGTGGAAGTGAGGCAAACAATGGCATTTGCTAGTTAAATTTGTTACCTTAAAATTCACATCTTGTTCCTTAAAACAAGTAGTGGATCACTTAAAATAAATGTGTATGCCAAAGCTATGACTGCTCAAAGTTAGGGGGAGAAACTAGAAAGTACAGTTTTTACCAAATGAAAAGTAAAATTCTACAAATTAACTGTATAAATTGGAAAGGGTTAAGTCGAGATTTATATTTTTTTCTATAGATAATTGAAAGAGCTTCAAATAAAATTTTGAACCACCTCAATATAATTTTTTATAATTAGTTATGAATTTTCAAAATTTAACCAAAAATTTGGAAGTAACCAGTGAATAGTAATCCAAGAAATTAAATACAATTTTTCAATCTACAGGCTTTTTTCATGACTTGCTTGAGTTGTAATGCTTCTGAATGTGCATTAAAGGGGGCAAATGGAAGGATGCTTCACCAATATCCAGATGGCTCTATACGAGACACTATATGGCAAGAAGTATAGGTCCTGTTTATGCAGGGACAGAACTCAGTGAGAGGAAAGTATATGGTCCTAACATAGTAGATCAGACCTCCGAGTAGATAAAAGTAATAAGATAGAGGTTACTGGCAGCTCAAAGTAGATTGAAGAGCTATGCCAATACTAGAAGGAGGTCACTGGAATTTGAAGATGGAGACCATGTGTTCCTAAACGTATCCCCAACTACTAGAGTGGGTCAATCCATCAAGGTAAAGAAGTTGACTCCAAAGTATATAGGATCATTTCAGATCCTCTTTGGAGTTAGACCTGTAGCCTACAGATTGCCCCGATCCCATATTTTAAATTCTCATTGAGGTTTATAGCACAACCTTTGGCACTTAATCATCTCCAATTGCCATACTCGAGCCCTCTAGATTTCATTAGAGTCTCAAACTTGCCTGTCTCGTGATTTCAAAAAACTCTTACTTTATGATTTATTCCCTAGGAATCCTCTTATCCTTCCAAAATATTTTTAGAACTCTTGTTAAAAAAGGTCTAGTAGCCTATCCATTTCAAGCCAGTTCTTGTACTTCTAGGTCAAAAATTCTAGAATTAGTTATGATTTTTCAAGTTGGCCAAAATTTTAAGGTTACTAAATGAATAGTAACCTGAGAAACTAATTTTTCAAAGTTGAATTTCCTAAGCTTGAGACCACCCAATATGGTCCCAATAGACATGTTTTGGCTTTACTTGTGGTCTAAAATGATAGTGTTACACTCTCCCTTGTCTTACATCTCTTTTCCCCTCATCTCCCATTTTTTTCTCATTTTCCTTCATTTTCCACTCCAAGTCTACCATTCTTTCCCTGTTTTGCTACTATGGAGGCTTGGGCTCTTGGAGGGAAAATCGATGGAGCTTTTTCTCATAGATAAGTGGATAAACAACTCATCTCTAAGGAATGGAGATGAATGCTGGAGTTTGGAGCTTAACTAGGGAGTGTTCTACATTTAATTTCCTCGTTTCTAAGTTTCTCAATAAACTTCTATAGTTATAGTAGTCATTTGACGATGTTGTATGTAAGATGTTATATTTGTAATGCTATT